ACTTATTTTTCCTGAGAATGTTATTTGTTGTATATCACGTTGTTTAATTACATTAATAAATATTTGATTTGATTTATAATTCAATGGATTTTGTATATAATTAATTCCATTAAATTGTTCTGATGATAGCATTAATGATGATAAATATCTTCCATCAAGTTCTTGTCCATTATAAAAAACAAATAAATAAATACGTCGAATTATTTTCATTGAAGTTTTATTTAAATATAAATCTTCATATAAAATTTTAACATCATTACTTATAATTGAATCTAAATGAAAAAAATGAAAAATAATTTCAATGAATTTATTAATGATATTTTGTTTTTTTTTTTTACTTTGTTGATTATATAAAATTAAAATAAGTTTTTGTAAATAATTACGATCATCTATTGATAAAGAATTGGAATAAAAATATGAAAAAGATTTTGATAAACGATAAACACGATTTGTTAATCGTTGCATTTGATTTGAAATTAATATATCATATAATTCATTATTTAATTCAAATGAACTATCAAGCCAAGTACCATTAACATGTTGTAAAAAGATAGTTGGTATATGATAAACTTGTCTAAAAAAACAAAATAAATAAAATTTAAAAGAAAACAAAAATCAGATTTAAGTAAAGACTTACCCAAGACTATCAATAGCTTCTTCAATACCAAATATATTTATATTCATTGTATAAATTCCGGCTTCGTGTAAAGCATTATTCAATTGTCTTTCAAGTCTAAAATTAAATTGTTTTAATTAAATTCATCTATCGGGTTTTTTTTTTGTGAAAGACGATCTAAAAGGAGTGTTGCAGTATAGGGGTAAAAATTTGGATGCTCTCTTCCAGAATTTAAAGCCATAGTTTGTTTGAAACCTTGCTTCGGAAATCCAATGGATTTTCGGGGGGTTTTAGCACCTTCAAAGTCTGATTTTTGAGTAAAAGCGTTTTTGGAATTAAAATAGCTTATTTTTCTAAATCCCTTCTCGTCATAGAAGAGCTTGGGTTTTCTATTCTGTCTCATTTATTTTCATACTTTTTAATTAAAAGAGTTTTTCAAAAAC